CAGCCTTGGACGGATCTGCCTACCTATTGACGCCTGCATAGATGGGATCACAGCCATGAGCCACCACACCAGCATGTTTGGTCAGATAGGGTCTTACTAACATTTTACCTAGGCTTGCCTCAAACTCCAATCTTCTCAAACGCTACCTCCTGAGAAATTGGGATTACAGCTGGGTGTCACTATACCTGACCCCTAAGATTTTTATAAAGAAAGAGAGACCAAACCCCCTTTTAAAATTAATGAGAATAGAAAAGGCAAGAATTTTACAGATAAGAATATGGACTCAAGGCAGAGTGCCTAAATTCAAGTTCCAGCTCTGCCATTTACTTGCTATTTGATGTTGGGTAAGTTACTTTACTTCTCTATATATCAGTTTCCTAAGCTGAAAAATGGGGATAATAACAGTATCAATCTCAAAGAGCCACTGCGGCTTAAATGAGTAGTGCATGTAAAAATGTTAGACCTCTGTTTGACACATAGTAATGTACCACAGATATTAACCTTTCCCTCCTCCTTCTATTTCCAGGCAACCTTGAACAAAAGTGCTGCTTCCTGGCCCTCCTCTGCCTAGGAATACCTTGTTCTGTGCCTGACAACTCATGTTATGCCCTTCATATAAGAAAAAATGTGAGCCGTAACAAATATGTAAAAGAATACATAAAAAACTTAAATGTACAGCTTAATGAGTTACTAGAAAAGGGATGTCTTAGTAACCCCACTTCAGGTCACTAAAAAGAACACACCAGCACTCTAGACACTCCCATGTGCCCATCCCTCAACACATTCCCTTGAACATCACCATCCCAGCTATTATGGAATAAAATCCCTTGCTTTTCTTTGATGTTTTAATACCAAATTGTACATCTAAATAAATATGTCTTAATTTTGTTTTTGAATTTTATATAAATGGAAAAACATAGTATATTGTTTGGGCTGACTTTTTCCACCTAACAAAAGTCTTTAAGATTCATTCATGTTGAGCTGGAGGTGTGGCTCAAGTGGTAGAGTGCCTGTCTCCCATGCACAAAGCCCTAAATTTAAACCCCAGTACTGTTCATCCCCCCCAAAAAAAATTCGTTCATGTTATTGCATCCACATGTAGTTAATTTTCACTGCTACATATGAATATAACAGTTTGCATATCCACTTTACTGTTAGGTACGTGGTTGCACTCACTTATGAACATTCTTATATATGCATCTTGCACATACATCCTGGTATACATAAGCATGCATTTCTGTAAGAAAGGTACCAAGAGGAGGAACTGCCAGGTAACAGGGTATGTGTATATTCAAATTTAGCTAGATATTACCATCACTTTTTCCAATGTGGTTGTACCAATTTTCCCTCCTCCAGAGGAGTTTCCCCTACATCACATCCTCCTTCACATTGGACTATCAAGCTTTTCAAGTTTTGCTGTTTAGTAGATATGTAGTGACAGCTCACTGGGTTTCTAATTTGCATTTCCCTGAGTACTATCACAGGTCTATTGGCCAAATGGATTTCCTCTTTTATGAAATGCCTATCCAAGTCTTTTGCTCATTTCTGTATTTCTGAGTTATTTCTTTATTCCTACTGATTTTTGTAGTTCTTTGCTCTGGAAACAAGCCTTTTGCTGATTGTGTTATAAGTTCTTTTTCACTTTCTTATTGGAGTCTTTTGATTAATGGAAGTTATTAACTTTGTTCTCCGCACCGCCCCCCCAAAAGGCTGGGAATTGAACACGGGGCCTTGTGCATGCTAGCCAAGCACTTGAGTGATATACTCAGCCCTTGTTTTTATGAGACAGGGTCTTGCTATAAAACCCAGGCTGGCCTCAACTTCTCCTGTCTCTACCTCCTGAGTGTTGAGATTACAGGTGCGCACTACTGTGCCTGGCAGGAGAAGTTCTTAACTTTAATGTAAATAATTTTTGTGTGTGTTTAGTAAGAATGGAAATTTATTCAGATTTTTTGGAGATGGACACTAACTCCAAACTGACAATTTCTGGAGACCCAAAGTGTTACTGTTCTCCACCAGTAAGCATGAGGATTTCATAAGGTAATAAGGTTTCATAAGGTTTTGTCTCAGATCTATGGTTTCTTGTGAGAAATCGACATTATCTGATAATCTCTGTTCCTTTATAGGTAATCCCTTGTTTTCTCAGGACATTTTCAACATTTGTTCAGTTTTCATTTTTCTTTATGATGTATCTGGATGTGACTGTTTTGAGGTTTATCCTGTTTTGGGTTATCTGAGTCTCATAATCTGAATTTTCATGTCACAAAATTTGAAAAGTTTTCAGATATTTTTCTTCAACTCTCATGTAAGATCAGGAAAAGTCAATGTTCCTATTTCTATTTTCCTGGTAACAAATCTGTGAACATATGAGAGATGAAAGACAGTTGATGTGACTAGCTATATCAGTGGGTTCTAATTTATTGTGTAAAAAAAAAAAAGCCTGATCAATCTTTTCCCATAATGAATAGATACATCTTCAGGGCATATTTTAAGAATTCTTTTTGTCTGTCCTCTCTATCCTGAACTACATTCTCCTGCTTCAGCGTTTTGGTGGAGGTACTTCGAGCATCATGAAGTATGAGATAGCAACACAGTAGAATGTGGGTTCTAGAGTCACATGGAAATGAATGGCCTGGAATAGGTTACTTTACACCTTTGAGAATGAGTTCCTTTACTGTAATTAAAACTACTGGATGCTTAGAACTGTGAGGAATAACTGAAAGGTACATAAAGTTCTCAGCATACGGTAGGACCTCAGTGAACAGTGGTGGCCACGATCATATTCTCTGAACAACTTTCCTCTTGTCCACTCTACCACAATTGCCTGAACCTCATGGTTTTTTTGTGAAATAGCAACCTGTCACATTCAAGAACAGCAAAAAGAGATGAACTGCCCTCAGTAGGCCAGCAAAATCTGCCTAGTACTCATAGGCAGCACTGTTAGTTCAAGCCCCACCTTCTTAACTAAAATCACAGGATTGATGCATAGGGTTGCCTTCCCCAATGCAAAGTCATTCTGAACTTCCACAGGGGCAGTAAGCTGAGGAATCAAAGCAACCACTCTCCTTGCTCACTGCCAGCAAGCACTGAGGTGTAAGGTGCACGAACTATCTCTAACTGGGAGAGTCATACTCCCCTGGTCTGATGAGTCTGGGTCAAAGGGTATTGTGCCAATCTGTGTGTCCTACACTGTAAACACAGCAAAATGAGGGATGTATTGCCTTCCTGCATTTGGCATGAGTGTACAGTCAAGTATGGTGCTCCTCTCCTGGAGGAGGTCTGTACCTGAGCATGGGGGAGGGAGTGCAAACATGCAACAGAATGTATGTCCTTAGAAAACTGGGATGCTTCCACAGTCTCCTGCGCTCTGCAGGAAAGCCCTGATGCTTATCATGTGCAGAGCTGTAGTCTCTTAATGCTCTCTACTTCCCTGAGATAGGACATGTACATAGAAAACAGACATTTTTTCATAGGAACCTGGGCCACTAATGCATGAGGAAGGAATATCTGCTACAAATCCTCACAACACATTTGTTTTGTTTTATTTTTGAGGTAGGGTCTCCCTAGTTTTGCCCAGGCTGGCCTTGAACTTGTGATCTTCCTGACTCTGCTTCAGGAGTAGCTGGGATTATAGACATGTACCATCACACCCAACCAGTTAGCACACACTTTTTTTTTTTCTTTTATTATTCATATGTGCATACGAGGCTTGGGTCATTTCTCCCCCCTGCCCCCACCCCCTCCCTTACCACCCACTCCGCCCCCTCCCCTCCCTCTCCCCCTCACCCCCTCAATACCCAGCAGAAACTATTTTGCCCTTATTTCTAATTTTGTTGTAGACAGAGTATAAGCCATAATAGGAAGGAACAAGGGTTTTTGCTGGTTGAGATAAGGATAGCTATACAGGGCATTGACTCACATTGATTTCCTGTGCATGGGTGTTACCTTCTAGGTTAATTCTTTTTGATCTAACCTTTTCTCTAGTACTTGTTCCCCTTTTCCTATTGGCCTCAGTTGCTTTAAGGTATCTGCTTTAGTTTTTCTGTGTTAAGGGCAACAAATGCTAGCTAGTTTTTTAGGTGTCTTACCTATCCTCACCCCTCCCTTGGGTGCTCTCGCTTTTATCATGTGCTCATAGTCCAATCCCCTTGTTGTGTTTGCCCTTGATCTAATGTCCACATATGAGGGAGAACATACGATTTTTGGTCTTTTGGGCCAGGCTAACCTCACTCAGAATGATGTTCTCCAATTCCATCCATTTACCAGCGAATGATAACATTTCGTTCTTCTTCATGGCTGCATAAAATTCCATTGTGTATAGATTCCACATTTTCTTAATCCATTCGTCAGTGCTGGGGCATCTTGGCTGTTTCCATAACTTGGCTATTGTGAATAGTGCCGCAATAAACATGGGTGTGCAGGTGCCTCTGGAGTAACCTGTGTCACAGTCTTTTGGGTATATCCCCAAGAGTGGTATTGCTGGATCAAATGGTAGATCAATGTCTAGCTTTTTAAGTAGCCTCCAAATTTTTTTCCAGAGTGGTTGTACTAGTTTACATTCCCACCAACAGTGTAAGAGGGTTCCTTTTTCCCCCCATCCTCACCAACACCTGTTGTTGGTGGTGTTGCTAATGATGGCTATTCTAACAGGGGTGAGGTGGAATCTTAGCATAGCACACACTTTCAAAGCAACTGGAAAAGTACCCTAAATGAAGTGTACCACTTTTGCTCTGAACCATGTGTCCCCCGTTTATCCCTTTACCCCATGAGGTGCTAGGAAGAAGGCTCCTTGAGGGTGATAGGAAACAAACCCAGGGCCTTATGCATGCTAGGCAAGTGCTGTGCTACTGGGCTATATCACCTTTGTTAAGGCTCCTTGAGACTCCCACAACTCTGAGATAGTTCTTTTCACTCCCCCATATGCCCACCTCATTAGGCTTCACTACAAATATGGCTATTATTGAGAGCTGAAAAGATGACAGTGGGGGAAGAATTGGTACCTGCGCCTAGTGTTTGTCCAGCGGAGTCAAAGGAAAGAATCATTGAATCTGCAACACAAGAGGACAAGTTCATTTCTTTTTCCTTCTTACAGTAACACAACAAGTTCCCACGGTTCTGCCCAAACCCTGTCATCCAGGATGAAACCCAGTGCAGATGCTTCCACAGTTCCAGGCCCACCTGTCCACTAGGCCAGTAGGCCCTGCTGTACCCAGCACCTGTTGCCTTCTGCCAATCAGAAGAACATCTCAAGGCAGAAACAGATCCAAAATTCTTTAGTGGTGTTTCCTGCCAGATTAGGGAATAATTTTTTTTTCCCCATTGAAAATGAAATTCAAACAAAGCAAAACAAAATTTCCCTCCTGCATCAGTTAAAGGCACTAACATTTCCCCTTTGACCACTCCCTTTCTTCCACTAACATATTTAATTTTTTATTCTTTCTTTCCCCCAGAAGACTGAGAATGGCCTATAGGAATTTATAGTATATGCTGAAATCAAAGAGTGAAGACGTAAATAAAGGAAAATATCATACAGTGTGGGAAATGTTAGTGCACAAAGTGCATGCCATGAGGACCTTTACAAACATTACAGGCAGAATCACAGAGGGCATGAGTTCCCATACACCCAAAGCAAAAAGGAGAAAATGAACAGTTCCAAGACTCAGTGTGTACAATGCATTCATCCTTTCAAATGTTCAGAAAATTCTTATTGGACATCTAGCATGTGCAAGATACTATGTATGCCTTTGAGATACAGCAGCAAACAAACAAACAAACAAACAAACAAACAAAACCACCTTGGTCTCTACCATTATGGATCCCCCTGCATCAGTCTAGGACAGAAATAAATTATTTAACTAGAAACTGAGTAAGGAATGGGTGCTGGACAAGGAGGCTTCCCTGGAGAAGTGGTCACTTGAATAAACAGCTGAAGGATAAGTCAGGGTCAAACCTAACAAGAATGGAATAGGCGTTTCAGGCAGAGAGAAGGTCATGTATAGAGACCTGAAGCAAGAAGGAGTCTAGTGCTTCAGAGCAACTCAAAGCCCAAGTGTACAAATACTATACAGTGATCAGAGAGGACTTTCTTTTTGCATGTTGAAGTTTGTATCTTCTACTTTTTATTTATTTATATTTTAATTATTTTGGTACTGGAGTTTGAACTCAGGGTCTGTGGTTGCTAGGCAAGTACCCTACCACTTGAGCCAGATCCCCAGTCCTTTTTGCTTAAGTTTATTTTTCAGATAGGGTCTTGCATTTTTGCCCAGAGCAAAATGATCCTCCTAACTCTGCCTTCCATATAGCTGGGATTACAGGCATGCATCACCACACCACCACACCTGGCTTGTTTTTGAGATAGTCTCACCAATGTTTTTTGTCTGGGCTGGCCTCAAACCGTGAACTTCCCATCTGTACCTCCCAAGTAGCTGGGATTACAGATATGAACCACCATGCACAGCTTCTGCAATATTTCTTGAGTAAGTAGCTATAAATCTTGTATGGCTGTTATACAAGAGCCAATTCAATATGATGACATAAAGCTAACTTATATTTCAATAACTACAATTGTATGGGGCACCAAGATGAAATATGGCCCAAGATAACCCAAAGACCCCCACTCAAAAGGGATCAGATTCAAAAGGCTCACTTGCGACAAAGCAGTGCCAGCTGGATGCATGTAGGACCAGTGTTTATAGCCACATCCCCCCATCCCAGCATTGTCCTTCAGATCTGTTTGTATGTCATTTTCCCTCATTACAATCGGAAATTCAAATAAATAGCTATCATAACTGTAATCCATGCTAGATTATAAACTCTGTAAAAGAAGACAATACATCTATTTTATCTACTGCTATGCTACCAGAACAACACCAACACTGTAACTATTTACTGAATTACAGTGCCCAGAAAAATAAACGGACCACAAATCCTTCAGGCAATTCTACATAAATACAGGATAACCATGGGTTTACAAAGAAATGGGCAGCACTGAGCTGGAGGATGTGATTTCTGATAAGGTTCCAGATAAGGGTCTGTCCTGCCAGTTAAAGGTAGATCCACATGCTTTGAAATCTACCAAGAAAAAGGCATGGTTGCCATCTTTTTACAAAAAAGTAGAAGTGGTGGGGTGGGGGGAGAAGGGGGATGTGGCACAAACGATGTATACACATGTAAGTAAATGTAAAAATGATAAACGGAGAAAAGAAAAACAAATGTAGAAGCACAGTTAGGACTCTTGTCTGATCAGATAGTTGGCCATTCTAGCTCATACAAGCAATGTCTAACTCATAAATTCTGCTCCTTTATCAACATTTCTTGCATATGTCTCCTCTCAATGAGAAGCCTGTGCCTCATTTTTAAAGAGCTTTATTAAGGTATAATTTACAATGCCCCCAAATTCACTGATTTAAGTATACAAATCATTCATAATTGATCCCAGCTCCTGCCTCCAGCACCACTGAGTTACTTCCTGTCTCCATCATTCACTTTTCTGGATATCTGCCTATCCTTTTCTGCAGGAAAGACTCTGCAAACCCTTTACTACACCTCTGCCTCCAACTTAGCCTACTTCTGTCTGTCTTTTCTATTAATTTCTCCAAAAAGTATACTGGACTGTGTAACAACTCTTGATTAAAACCCTTCTGTGGGAGTTGGGGGTATAATTTAGTATTATAGCGCTTGCCTAGCATATATATATAATCCTGGGCAACACACATACACACACATGCACACACACACACGACAACAACTGCAATAGCAACAACAACAAAACCTTCCCTAATTTCCTATAGCCTGTTAGACAAAGTTCAACCTCTGAAATTCAAATTCTTCACCATTTTGGCCCATTGTACCTCTAATACACCTCATGTTTCATACATACCAAACTACTTATATTTCCCCAGGGACATGTGCCTTCCTGTCTTCAAAAAATAGACATGCTGATCTGTCCGTTTGTATAAAGACCCTCCCACTTTCCATTAAAACCCAACTTAACCATCCTCTCCTCCTTGACACCTTTTCTGATCAATTCTGTTCACTCCCACTTCTAAAATTGCATTTACCATACTGCATTGTAATTCTTGTTGGCCTCTCTTTTTCTCTTAATGAGCTGCAAGTTCCCTGAGAATAAGGATTGTCTCTTCATTTTAAAGTTTTGATGACTAGCTCAGTGAATAACACACAGAAAGTGACCAATTTCTTAGTTATTATATGAAGGAATAAACTAGTAAATGTCCATCTTTCTTTCAGATATTATCTGAGTAACATTTCACAAGTCAAGGGAAAAAAATCCATTCTGGATACTGATTCTCATTCAGTTCAAGTCAATTCTGAACCATCCTTATCCTATGAGGCTGCAGGAGTTCAAGCCTGAGCACATCCTGGGAAGACAAGAGTGCTCGCACATGGTGTGGCAGCACAAGGTAAGTAAGGAAAACATCCTCAGAACTCCCTCGGTGATGGGTCACATTCACCTAGAGGAGATCAGAACAAATCTCTGAGGGATTGACTAACCAGATGAACAACTGAAAAGTACTTCAAATTTTCATTGCGGTTGACAAGTAGATTTCCATTTGCAATTTACCTTCTTTGTACTCAGAAGCAGTCCTGATTTAATATTTTTTAAACTTTTCAAGAATTATAGGTAATGTTTATTCCCTGCATTTTTGCAAAATTTCTATAGCAAATGTGTGTTATTTATATCATGAAAGAAAAACAAAAAGTGGGGTGGTGCTCATATATAGTCCCAGCTACATAAGAGGCTGAGATAGGAGGGTTGCTTGAATCCACAAGTTCAAAGCCAACCTCAGTGAGAACTCACCTCAAAAACCAACAACAAAACGTTAACCTCTCAAAGATTCAACAACTCACCGAATAAATGGGCAGATGACCAGAATAGATAATTCTCAAAAGAAGAAGTACAAATGGCCAATAAACATATGAAGAAATGTTAAAAATTCTTAGCGATAAAGGAAATGCAAATAAAACTACACTGAAATTCTTTCTCATCCTCATCAAAATGGCTGTATCATCAATAACACAAACAACAAATGCTGGCAAGGATGTGAGGAAAAAAGAACACTTCTATACTGCTGATGGGAATGGAAATTAGTGCAACTGCTATGGAGAGCAGTAGGGAGGTCCTTCAAAAAGCTAAAAATGGAACTACCATAAGATCAGCAATACTACTACTAGGTATACATCTGAAGGAATGTGCTCCAGGTTATTATAGAGCCACATGCACATCTAGGTTTATTGGAGCATTAGTTATAACAGTCAAGCTTTGGAATCAGTCCAGATGGCTCACGAATGATGAATGGATTAAGAAAATGTGGTATATATACAAATGGAGTTTTATTCAGCAATTAAGAAGAATGAGAGTTGCCTTGTTCTCGCCTTTCTCTTCTGTTTGGCGCGCACTGTGCGCCGCTTCCGTCAGCCTCCTGCCCGCCGTCTCCTTAAGACCAAACACCATGCCTTCAATTAAGCTGCAGAGTTCTGATGGAGAGATATTTGAAGTCGATGTAGAAATTGCCAAACAATCTGTGACCATCAAGACCATGTTGGAAGATTTGGGAATGGATGATGAAGGAGATGATGACCCAGTTCCTCTACCAAATGTTAATGCAGCAATATTAAAAAAGGTCATTCAGTGGTGCACCCACCACAAGGATGACCCTCCTCCTCCTGAAGATGATGAGAACAAAGAAAAGCGAACAGATGATATACCTGTTTGGGACCAAGAATTCCTGAAAGTTGACCAAGGAACACTTTTTGAACTTATTTTGGTACGCAAAGAGAACCAGTGGTGTGAAGAAAAGTGAAATGTGCCTGACACTGTAACACTATAAGGATTGTTCCAAATACTAGTTGCACTGCTCTGTTTATAATTGTTAATATTAGACAAACAGCAAACAAATGAAGCAGCACATCAATTGTATTAGCATAAGATTGTCCTTATTGCATGTGTAGTTTGAGTACAGACTCCAAACCTATGGCTGAGTTTCTGCTAGTATGAGCAAAAGCTTTTCTCTTTACTCTGAATAAAAGT